CAGGTAACGCCATCAATCAGTTGGGTTTGGGTTTTGGTCTATGGATAGAACCCGAGATGGCATCCCCTGGTTGTCATCTACTACAGAAGTATAAGGACTGCACATTACAAGCCAAGAATAGGCCGATGACTATGAGGAGGCATCAATTCCTGTTAGACTTTAGTCAAGAGAGGGTCAGACGATACGTCCTTAAGAAGTTGAGGTAAATGCTTATCATCAGTGGGGTGTAGTACAAAAGCTTGCCGAGGTCCATCCTATCGAGTTGCAACATAGCCTATGTGAAGTGGGATATGAATCGTCATTTAACGGAGGCTCAGAGTGCTCTACTATCTGATGATAGACCCCAAGGGGAGACCATGCACAGGCATATGCTTGGAGTCTATCAGGTGAGGAGGTCACGATATCAAGGTGACTACTTCTAATAAGGCTGCGGTCTCAGGTCCTCGACTCTATCACTTCCGAGTTCCCTCTGGTACGCTTTGAGACATGTGCAGGAGGAGGTGGCAGGTTCGATGCCGGCATGTTGTATTTTGGTCCCCAAATTTGGGCATCGGATAACACCGACGCCTGCTGTAGAGCACGTATACAATCGGGCCTCTCTGTGGGTTACCCCATGATTACTATGGGCAGTCACATTACAGCCACACCTAACCATCAAGTAAGACCACCCTGCATGAGGATTAGCATCGTCATACGAGACATTCTCCTCTTCAGACTGGGCGGGTCCTGCCGGGAAATGTGAGAGGAGGAATGTCCATGCTTGGTGCCATGGGCGTGGAGTTGAACCTCATGAAGGCCGATGTGGAGCTTCTTGAGGAGATCAAAGCGTTACTGCATGTCTACAAATCAGCAATTGATTCTAACCTTCTCAAGGGGAAATTCTATAGACTTTGGGACCCTTTTGACATGCACTCGACACAGGCAAGTTATTGGAGTCTCTAGCTCTTGCTGGATGTGCGTTGGCATAGGTATTCGGTGCGGAGGCAACAGCTTGGATGGAAGTAGCATGTGACAGATCTAGGGCTATCGTTATGGTGTGCATGTTACATC